TTTCACACGAGTCAAAATTGCTATTATTAAAAAGCCAAAAAACAACAGATGCTGGTGAAGTTGCAGGCAAAAAGAAACACTTTTACACTGTTGGTGGGAGCATAAATTAGTTCAACTGTTGTGGAAGACAGTGGGTTGATTTCTCAAAGACCTAGAAGCAGAAATACCATTTGACCCAGCAATCCCATTACTGGGTATACACCCAGAGTAACATAAATCATTTTATTATAAAGATACATGCACACATATGTTCACTGCCACACTATTCACAATAGCAAAGACATGGAATCAACCTAAACCTAATCGCCCAACAATGATAGACTGGATATAGAAAATGTGGTACATATACACCATGGAATACTAAGCAGCCATAAAAAGGAATGAGATCCTGTTCTTTGCAGGGACATGGATGAAATTGGAAGCCATTATCCTCAGCAAACTAATGCAGGAACAGAAAACCAAAAACCACATGTTCTCAATTTATTAAGGGGGAGCTAAATGATGAGAACACATGGACGCACGGCGGGAACAAGACACACTGGGGCCTCTTGGAGGGGGGCTGTGGAGGGAGAGAGGGCATCAGGAAGAATAACTAATGGATGCTGGGCTTAATACCTAGGTAATGGGATAATCTGTGCAGCAAACCGTCATGGTACTTGTTTACCTATGTAATACACCTGAACATCCTGCACATGGACCCCTGAATTTAAAAAAAAGTTGAAGAAAAAAAAAAAAGATTTAGCTACAAAGATATTAATCATATATTATATTTGTTTAGAGTTATAAATAATTAAAAATAAGTTAAACATTTAACTGTACTAGAATGATTATATTGTGATCCAATCATACAATGAAACAATCTACAGCCATTAAAGATTATGTTGTAGACATGTATTTATTAACATAGATAGATGTTCTTATGTGCTGGTGAGTTAAAATTAAATTTAAAAACAGTTTGTAGTATATGATTTCAAATATAGGTAGATGTATTAACACACATGAAAGATAGATAAAAAGATGACACATTGATAAACAGATACTCCAAAAATGTTCACAACAGCTATTTCTGGGTGGCTGTATTTATCTTCTTCTTTATTACTATATTTTCTTTTTAAAAAAACTTTTACATTCAGGAATATAAGTGAAGGCTTATTATTAAATTAGTTCAGCCATTGTGAAAGGCAATGTAATGATTCCTCAAAGACCTAAAGTCAAAAATACCACTCTACCCATCAATCCCATTACTGGGCATATACCCAAAGGAATATAAATCATTCTATTATAAAAACACATGCATGTATATGTTTATTGCAGCACTAGTCACAATAGCAAAGACATGGAATCAACCTAAATGCCCATCACTGATAGACGGAATGAAGAAAATGTGGTAGGTATACACCATGGAATACAATGCAACCATAAAAAAGAACAAGATCATGTCCTTTGCAGGCACATGGATGGAAGTGGGGGCCATTAGCCTTAGCAAACTAACACAGGAACAGAAAACAAAATACCACATGTTCCCACTTATAAGTGGAAGCTAAATGATGAGAACACATGGGCACACATTGGTGAACAACATACACTGGGGCCTTTTGACCTTCAGGAGGAGGGAGAGAATCAGGAAAAAGAACTGATGGTATGAGGCTTAAAACCTGGGTGATAAAATAATCTGTACAACAAACCTCCACAACAGATGAATGTTTTCATTTCACTTGGGTAAATACTGAACAGAAGAGTTGCTGGGTCATATGGTAAATGTAGGTCAACTTCATAAGCAACTGCCTAGTTGTTTTCCAAAGTGGTTTACAGTATTACATCCCTATCAGCAATATATGAGCATTGCTGTTGTTCCACATCCTCACTAACATTTGATAATTCAATCTGTTCAATGTTAGCCATTCCACAATCTGTACTAGTATCTAATTGTGGTTTTAATTTCAAATTTCCTAATGAATAATGATGTTGAACATATTTTAGATTCTTACTTGCAATTTGTATATCTTCTTTGGTGAAATGTCTTTCAAATTTTTTGCCCATTTTTTAAAAAGTCAGGTTATTTATCTGATTCTAAGGTTTTAGTAGTTTTTACATATTTTGGATACAATCAAAGATATTCTTTAGAAATAGATATTTTGCTAATATTGCTTCACAGTTTGTAGCTTGCCATTTTATTTACTAACAGTGTCTTTTAGAGAACAAAATTTAATTTTGATAAAATACAATTGATTTTAAAAAATCTAAAGGCAGGCATTAAACATCTTACCTAATAAGAACTCTAGTGTGTGTATCTATTTCAATTAGAAAATGGCATGATATTAAAAAAAAATATTTTTCACAGAGTTTTCTGAAAAAATAGTTTACTAATTAATGCATTTACTCCTTTTTCATGTATTTATTCAACAAATCTTTATTGAGAACCTCTAGTGTTCCAGAAACCGTACTAGTATTGAGGATATAATTTTGACCAAAATAGGCATTTTATCATTATTGTAATATAGACATTAGCATCACTGCAACTAATTGCATCACCTACTTTCTTTGTCCCTCTGGCTTAACAGTAAAGTATCAGAGAAGCACATAAATATTCTGTCAGTAAATATGATATATGTAATTCTGATTTTTTTATTCTCTTTGAGGAATGAGGCTCTTATTTTGTATCCCCATAGTGTAGAACATATTAGGCTCGATATTCACATACTCAACAATTATCCCTTCAGTGCGTATCCCATGAAAGACCTCGTACCTGGTATTGTGAAAGACATGAGGCTGTATTAGAAAAGGATTTGGAACAAATAGTGAAAGTGATAAGGGACATGTACACAAATAATCTCAACGTAAGGCAGAGAAATAAATGCTATAGAAAAGTAAATATATGGTGCTATTGGAATTCAGGGCAGAAACATATTATTCCCCAAAACACAATAAAGAAAAGACTTTTTAGAAGAGTTGGTTTTTGAGCTGGGGCTGGAAGGATGGGAAGGATTTAGCTACAAAAATTGAGTGGATAGGAAAGGAGACAGGGAAGACAGCAGAAGTGTGTAGAAAATGTCCCTTTACATATAAATTATACTTTATTAAAGCAAGTTTTATTCTAAAATTATTGTATATAGCCATTACTATGTGTGTGTGTGTGTTCAATAATTCTAATATTTATTTTTCAGATATTCAAAGCTAAATTATCTTAATCCCATATTTTTCTTCTTGTTTCTTAGGGTCAGTTAAGCCCACTTAAATCTCACCATAAGAGAGAGAAAGTCCCTCATTTTCAGAAAATTATTCCAAAATGTCTTCTATTTAAATGTAGCTCTATAGAGCTGCATCAAGAAATTATTTTAGTCTATTCTAATTGTGTTTGTCGAGTATGGTAACCACACTTTCTATCAAGGGTTTCTGAAACTAGTTATGGAACTTTGTTATCACTATTTTTATGTGCTAATGTATAATGATAAACTAACAATTTGATTGAAAATTTTCACAGATGGTCTAAACATGTAGCCAATTTGCATATAATACTCTGTTCAGTATCTGTAATGTGATGCAAAAATTACCTTAAGCCTAAATAACTGTGTTGTTTTCCAATATGTAATTGGAACAATTAAGATATTACCGCAAAAGCTCTTGGCTCATGATGGCTTCTCTATTTAACTTACTACAAATTAACCAATTATTCAGTTTCAGTGATGGTCATTTCTACAGCGATAACTTAAGTCATAATTAGCTTTAAAGGTATCAGTTCACACTTATCTCTCATTGCCCACAGTATTCCCTCTAAATAAAATTTCCCTTCAATACTTTTACTGTGCTGTCACTCACGCCATGGAAAACTCAAACTTCCTCAATACGTGTAGATTTCTTCTAATCTATAATGACCTTAAAGTTGTTTCTTTTTTGCCACTTCCCCTCACTCAAATATTACTTAAGTCCTAAAGGAGGTTTATTAATTAAGTCTCCATCGGTGCCAATAAAGTTGGCCAATAAATGATCAATGCTATAACGATTTTGCAACAATAAGTTCCATTGGCTTCTGTCAATCACATAAATGGGAGACTCACTTAACTATCACATAGGCCCCTTGTATTTTCCTATGAAATTTATAACATTTTAAAGAAGAAAACCTGTGGGTGATTGAATCTTCTAAAAATGCATTTGTTTTACATCTATTTTATTCATAGTTAACAAAAATAAAAGCCAGACTCAAACATTACATTATTGTATTGCTTCTTCTTACAAGACGTTCTAGAGAAGGTAAAACTGTGGTAACGAAAAACAGATAGTTGGTTTCCAGGGCCTGAGGATGAGGGAGAAGTTGACTACAAAGGGCCATGAAGAAGCATTTTTGGATGTGAAAATGCTCTATATCTTAACTTCGGTGGTCGTTACACAGTAGTTTGCATCTGCCAAACATATACAACTATATTCTAAATGGGTAAATTTCATTATATATAAATAACATCTCAATAAATCTGACTTTGAAGAAGTAAACAATCATTTATATCCCAAATTTTGGGTCAATCTAAAGAGATATATTCAACAATCAATATGAGATCTATCAAGAAAGCAAAGGAATGCTTGATTCCCTAAGATGTTTCAAGTATTTCCCTCTTTCCAGAGTACCAATGACATTTTATTATCTTTTACAAATCAATATGACATTTTAGGGAAAAAAAAGCTACATTGAACAAGTGCCTTACTTTTATTAATGTCTTTTTAAAAAATCTAAAAATAACATTTAGTTAAATGCAAGCTTATTTAATGAATTGATTGGTTACCATAATCATCTAGTCTCAGAATGACACACTACTATTTCTTTGTTTGCAGTTGCAAGGTTATTATAGTTTACCTCTCACAGTCTGGTAAGCAACTTAATAATTCAGAGAGATAATGGAGAAAAAACACTACTAGAAATCCTCACATGATATAATTGACATTCAGATTCAAGAAACAAAATTAATAAGAGATAATTCGGAGAAGGCTGCTTTAGATAGCAAATGCCTTACCTTTGTGTTTGGGTCGCATAGCTGTTATCATAAGCTTCATAGGTCTGGTCATCATATTCACCCCCGTAGCCATCATCATAACCCTGAGACAAAAAGTGGTAGAAACACCTGTTAGCAATCAATTTGATTAACTTTGATCTATTTTCAGTTAGCACAATTTTACACAATGTGATCTTGGTTTAGATTTTATGTTGGGTAAGTAACCACATATCACATTTTACTAGATTAATAATTCTCAAATAATCTTAAATAATATTTCATTGGTCAGGTATTAATGTTTATTAAACTCAGCATGTCACTGAAGCAGCAATACTTATCTAAGACTTATTTACAATTTTCATCAATAATAATGACTAAGAAATTCAAAATAAGTTTTTCTATTTGGGTATACAAGAACAACTGTGAAAACCTAATGGTGGTGTTAACATGTTTGTTACTACCCCACTGGGAGTTTTTCTTCTCCTTTTAATAATCACAATTAAGACAGAAACTATAAACTACAGGATCCTTAAATTGTAGTCAGCTTTCAGTAAAAATTATGGAGTCATTGCTGATTAAAATAAATAAATAAAAGAAAAAAAGAGGGAAGAAAAAAGGAAAGAATAAGTGAAATAAAGACTTTGTGGTTGGGCCTGGTGGCTCACGCCTGTAATCCCAGCACTTGGCGAGGCCAAGGTGGGCAGATCAGCTGAGGTCAGGAGTTCGAGACCAGCCTGGCCAACATGGCGAAACCCCATCTCTACTAAAAAATACAAAAAAATTTAGCCAGGCATGGTGGTGTGCGCCTGTAATCCCAGTCACTCAGGAGGCTAAGGCAGGGGAATCACTTGAACCTGGGAGGCAGAGGTTGCAGTGAGCTGAGATTGTGCCATTGCACTCCAGCCTGGGCAACAAGAGTGAAATTCTGTCTCAAAAAAAAAAAAAAAAAAAAGAAAGGAAAAAATAAGACTTTGTGTACATGTGTACATTATATGATTTTTAAATCTAATAAGTAAAATAATGTTATGTGATGAGATTTATTACTCGAGTAAATTACACTAACAAGCTACTGCAGATTTGTCATAGCAGCATGTTCAAACAAGCTAGTAATTATACACTCCAGTTATCAATCACTGAATGATTTAGTTTTGTTTCTCTTTGTGGTCATTTATTTTAAACACTAGCCATCCATCTCGATTATTCCCTACTTCTGGAAAAACCTTCAGGTTTTCTGTGCCTGGTGCTGGTGCATCTCTTTCCCTGGAATACAATTCCACCCTCCACCCTACCCTACCACTTCATAAATTCTTTTCATTTCTGGAGGCTTACAAATCTCTCTTCATCGTGTTCAAGAGTTTCAGTAGAAAATACCTACATGTGAAATCTTTGACATTAACCTTGGCTAACACTTTTAAGTCCATTTAATGAAAAGACTAATATATTTATCAACTTAACAAACTTCTAAAAATTTTATTTATTTCTTCATTTTCATGTGGTTTAACCTTTATATAATGCTATTATTTACATATGAAGTTTTAATGTTCTACAGTTAATTTTAGTATTTATAAAATAATTACATGCAGATTATTTAGAAATAATACAAACAAGCTTATGTCCCAAAATAGTAGTTCCTTGTCATGTTCTCCTTTAACCTTCAGCTCTCTTTCAGTATTTTCATTGATTATTTTAGTATTTATTTTTGTGTTATTAAGTAATACAGCTAAGTGATTGTTGTTGGATTTATAAATTTTGTCATTTTCTATTGACTGTCCATTCCGGTTGTTAAATTTAGTTCTATTATTTCCCTTACTTATCTTCCCAGCATAGTTTCATCATAATTTTTTATTAGTCAATATTAATATTATTGAGTGACAATACATAATTGTATCCTCTTATGACATGAATTATTTAATATAATTCTGTTTTTATTCTCATACACCTTTTCCTTTCTTCCAAAGTTGATAATTATTCATTCATCTTATTATTTTCTTGGTTTTCCAAATATTTAGAAATGCCTCCATCAGTTGTCCCAATGGTCATATTAAACTAGTAGTAATATTTCTAAGATTCAAAGACATCAGCTCATCCATAATGTTTTTATGTGTAACATGGAGACTATGACTGGAAGAACTGTGTCATTGCACTTTGGTCCACATTGATGAATTTCTAAGCCTGAAGGCCAAGGTGTTTTCCTAAGGCCTCTTTCACTATCGTTGGTATTGAATTTCCTTTGGCCAGATTCCATCTTTTCCTTGCTTTAATTTCTTGCTGAAACATCTCTTTCAATAACCTCTATTAAGAGACATTTTGGAGAAAAATATTTTGATTCTTTTTTGCTTAGCTTTACACTGCCCCCCTACTCACTGTAGCTTTTCTGTTTTTATTTTTTGGTGATAAATTTCAATTATACAAAAGTTGGAACAAGAGGTCAATGGAAACTCATCTACCCTTCACCTAGATTCAACAATTATTGACATTTTGTCTTATTTGTGTTACCTTATATATACATTTTTTAAGAAACCATTTGCAAATTAGCTCCAGAAACATGATATTTTATCCCCAAATACTTCAGCTTTTATCTCCTGAGTGTAGGGACATTCTTCTACATAAATATATTATTATTACTCCTTAAAAATCACAATAATTTCACATTACTGTGAAGTCCCTAGTTAAATGTTCCCTAGTTAAATTGTCCCAAGTATTTATGAATTTTATAGCTATTTTAATCTTGCATAGCTATTTTTTAAAAATCAGAACCCAATAAAGAATTTTGAATTGCCTTTGATGATTATATCTGTTTAATGTTTTTAGAGCTAGCATAGTTCTCCAACCTTTTATTGCTTCCGACTTTTTTGAGTGGTCCAAACCAACTGTTTTGTACACCACCCCACATTCTGTATTTGTCTGATTATTCTCATAATTACATTCAGATTTAATATTTTTGAAAGAATGTTACATATGTGATATTGTATTGTACATTTATGTTACTGGAAATTTTTACATTGTTGTCTCATACTTAATTGGTTGGGTGGAGAAGTCTAGGCTGAAAAAAATGACTTTTAATCAGAATTTTGAGAGCTTTGGTACAATACTTTTTACTATTCCATGTTAAAGTTGAGAAGTCCGATTACTTACACATGACCTAGATTTGTTTTGTCTCTTTTTTATTTCTTCTGGATGCTTTTACAATTTTATCCTTGGTGTTCTGGAATTACAGCATGCAATGCCTTTGTGTATATAATATTAATATTGACTAATAAAAAGTTATGATGAAATTACTTTGGGAAGATAAGTAAGGGAAATAATAGAACTGAATTTAACAACCTGAATGGTTGTGTGTGTGTTTCTTTTCATTCATTGTGTTGGGTGCTCAATGAGCTCTTTCAATCTAGAGGCTTATATTCTTCAGTTGTGGAAACTGTCTCTCCATATTTTTTTCTTTCTTCCTTTTTTCCTTTTTTTTTTTTTTTTTTTTTTTAGAACCCTTACTAGTGAGATTGAGTCTTCTGGGTTGGCACAGTAAATATGATATCTCTTATTATTTTTATGTTACTTCACACACACACACACAGACACACACACACACACACAACTGTTAGGATGTGGAGTGGATGTTTTGTGTTCTCAGGTATAGTTTAAGCATGCTATTCTTAGCCCAAGGTCTCATCTCCTTTGTGGCGGGACAAGGGTTAATATCATAATTGGAGCTTTCTGGAGCTGCAAGAGTCAGGGCAGTCCAGCACTCTATCCTGAGGATCCACCTGGTCAGTTGTGAGGACATCCACAGGTGCTCCAAGGGGTGCAAACTTATTTTTAGGAATCAGGCTTTTAGTCCTTCACCAAGATTATAGAAATATGGCTTCACTCACCTTTATTTCTTACTCAGGACTCAAGATCTCTAGCTTCCAACAGGAGGCAAGGCAGTTTTAATTTGTTTGTTCTGTTCCACTTTATTTTTGTGTTTCTATTTCTGAGCAGGGAGGTACGAGAACCAGGGATGGCAGTAGGTACTTGTCTTCAGGGCTCCAGGGCTTCTGAAATCCCTATGCTTCCCCCATTTCCATCTGTTGAAATGCTACTGATTCCTCAAGGTCATTTTACATAATATCATCTTCAGAAATCTTTTCCTCTTTCTACTAACCACATATTATTAACACTTAGTTCTCCAAATTCCAATAGCCTGTTGTTTTGTCTCATTGTTCTTAAAATACCTAAACATATACTGTATTTATTTTCTATAATTTTCTCTCTTTTTAGAATTGAAGCTTCTGAAAAGCAAGGACTATATCATAGTTTATAACCTTTTTGATGTATTATAGTACTTAGCATAGTTTATTACATAGAATAGTAATTTAACAAATATATATTGAATTGTTAAATTAGCCAAAGGAGACTATTCTTATCCACTGTAGATATGGATTAACATAAATTAATCACCACTAAAAGATAATTGTTTCAAATAATAAATACATAGAGCTATTGTCTCTATTTATGAAGAATATCTTTACTATTTGGCTCAGGAAGATTATTTCATTTTACTCCCTCACTTACTCTTTTACTTCTTTAAATGTTACACAGAAAATCCACAGAGTAGATGGAAATCTTTCCTGTTAACCTAAAATTTCATAAAGCATATATAGTGCAATGTTCTCCAAATATCTGTACTTACTGTAAAAGGGACAGTAAATGGGGATATTTTTTCTAATACTTGATGTATTTTTAAAACTATCATTTTATTAAGAAATGTGTATGTATATATTTATAAATATATATGTATGTATGTAAATGTATAGTACTACAAAACGGTAAACTATCATTAGACAACCATCACAAAATGAAAAGCATCGCAATGTTTAAGATGCCAACACTGCACCCTAAATGTTAAAAACAGACTGTAAGTTATTCATTGGCATATTCTTATTGCATAAATCAGATCGTTTTCCTAATGCTAGCACTAAGGAAGTAGTAGGTGGATTTCTGAAGAAGTGAGAAAAAAGCAAGAGTGTTCTAGCAGCTAGGGCAGGGAGAGACAACTGCAGAGCCATAAAAGGCATGGACTCCGGCGTTATTCTGTCTGCATTCAAATCCTGAATCCAAATAAGAT